CCCAAAAAAAAAAAAAAAAAAAATTCTAATCCCACGCCTTTGGGAGGCTGAGGTGAGTGGATTGCCTGAGCCCACGGGTTCGAGACATGCCTGGACAACTTGGCAAGACCTCATCTCTACAATAAATCAAAAAAAATCAGCCGGGCGTGGGAGTGCATGCCTGTAATTCCAGCTACTTGGAAGGCTGAGGTGGAAGGATCGCCGGAGTCCAGCAGGTCGAGGCTGCAGTGGCCAGGAGCGGCCACTGCGCTCCAGTCTGGGCAAGAATGAGACTCCAACTCAAAAAAAAAAAAATTCTAGTTTGGCCATGGGGAGATGTGCTGGATTAGAGTCAAATGTATGTTTTCATGGTTATTATAACATTATTATGGGGGGGAACCCTCAAGGTATTAGAAGACAACAACATAACCAGTTATAACAAGTTATAGTATTTGTTTATGAGAAAGATGGGATGTAATAAGAGAAAGTAACGATTTACATTTTTCACTTTTTTAGCTATAATAATCCATTTTAGATAATGCCTACTCTACCCATTACCTAGACTGGAGCAAGAAACCTAACAGGCAAGTGATACTGGTGAGAAGTGAGACTAGCAGATTAAGGCTGCAACACAGGCTGGGCACAGTGTCTCACGCCTATAATCCTAGCACTTTGGGAGGTGGAGGTGAGAGGATTGCCTGAGCCCAGGGGTTCCAGACCAGCCTGGGCAACTGACGAGACCTCGTCTCCATAATAAATAAAAAATTTGCCAGGCATGGTAGCACACACCTGAAGTTCCAGCTACTTGGAAAGCTGAGGTGGAAGGATTGCCTGACCCAGCAGGTGGAGGCTGCAGGCCGTGAGCATGCCACTGCACTCCAGCCTGGGCAACAGAGTGAGACTCCGACTCAAAAAAAAAAAAAAAGGCAGGCACAGTGGCTCAAGTCTATAATCGCAGCACTTTGGGAGGCTGAGGTGAGAAGATTGCCTGAGCCCACGGGTTTGAGACCAGTCTGGGCAACTTGGCAAGACCTCATCTCTACAATAAAAAAAAAAATTAGATAGGTGTGGTAGTATATGCCTATAGTTCCAGCTACTTGGAAGGCTAAGCAGGTCACCTGAGCCCAGCAGATCAAGGCAGCCGTTTTGTTCTGTTCTTCCTTCTCCATCTGACCTGGGAAGAGCCACCGCAGCCTCTCTCTACCTTGGTCTCTGTCAATAAAGTGGGAATAACCATGTGACCTTGTCCTTTCTTATAGTGGAGAAGTAAATTGTGAGAAGTAACTTAGCTAATTTCCATAAGTGTGCAAAATCCTACAAAGAAATATACTCCATAAGAACATGTTATTAAGTGGTCAAGACTTTAAAGGCATGACGTGACACCTTAGTAGTCTGTAGTTACAGGTTTTTAGTACAGTGGCTTCCTGAGGGAAGCATGGGTCCTGAAGGGCAGTGATGACCTTGTGAGCTTGGGAGGCAAACCTGGGGCAAGTGTCTCCTCAGACTCTGACCAGCCATGTGGTCTTGGGCAAATGGCTTCTCCTGTCTAAGCCCCAGTTATTTTCTTCTTGGAATCAGAGATGGATATGTCCACCTCACTGGATGGTTGTGAGGATTGTCTGTGATAAGCAACATCGAGTGCCCACCTAGAACAGTGGCAGATTGGAGTGGGTAGATGCCTACCCTTCCTCTTCCATTCAAACTGTGTTAGATCAGGAATGAAGAATATTTTGGGTGTGAGGACAAGGTGTAGGGAATCAAAAGTTATATGCCTGAGGATGGGTTTAGAGTCTAAGCTAAAGACAATACTGAATGTGAAATATCCATTTTTCCAGGCCTGGTGTGGTAGCTCATGCCTGTAATCCCAGCACTTTGGGAGACTGAGATGAGAGGATTTCCTGAGTCCAGGAGTTTGAGACTACCCTGGGCAACTTGGTGACATCTCGTTTCTACGATAAATAAAAAAATTAGCTGGGTGTGATGGCACACATCTGTAGTTCCAGCTACTCAGGAGGCTGAGGTGGAAGGATTGCCTGAGCCCAGCAGGTCAGGTCTGCAGTAGCCATGACCCTGCTACTGCACTCCAGCGGGGATGACAAAGTGAGACTCAAAAAAAAAAAAAGAAAGAAATATCCATTTTCCAGAGCTGGACTGGCTTTAGATTCTATTTATTACTGTTCCAGAAACCTGCTAACCAACCCAAGTTTAAAACTTTGTTCAACTGGGCATATGCAGAACAAGTGATTTTCATCAAGCCATGTTGCCAATTTGGATGATTATTATTTAAACTTGAAGTGTAGAGGAGTTAAAGCTCCAGAATGGGAGCTTTTGTCCAGACATTCCATAATGATCTCTTTGGCCATATATTCAGCATCTACTAGGACAATCCCACTCCATCTTCTGACTTACTGAAAAATGGGAGCCAGGCTCGGTGGCTCAGCCTGTA